AAAAGTAGAGGGAGACAGATCGACAGGAGGAGCAGAGAGAAAGGAAGGATCTGGTGAGGGGAGGGAAGTACCAGAGATGGAGAAAAAATGCTTTACCTCTGGGGACACCCCAAAGGAGGCGGCAGTCCTGCCTCTGTACCCTTCTGTAACCCTTCAAGGCCCGCAGCTCAAGTTTTACCTCCCTGATCCAGCCCTCCTTCCGACGCTTCTGCAGAAACCTTATGGGGCAACCACACCCGTTTCCCCCACGAGGAGCTGGGTTTTCTGTTGCTCTGGGAACCAAGTACCCGCATGTGTTGTCGCTCAGAACTACCTTGGAAAGAGTACATGTTCCCCTTTTACACGCTGGGAAACAGGCAGGCAAGATCTCTGCCTTAGATCCACTGTCCCATGTGTTGGGCTGGCGGGGAGCGGGGTGGTACAAGATCAGAGCCCCAGACAGAGCACACTGCCTGAGTGTTGGTGCATAGTCCCCATCCCTCCTGGGTAAACCACACCCCACCCTAGTGGAACCATCAAGGGCTCACAGTAGTTCCCTGGGTGTGGGAGAGCTATCCTCATATGAAGGAAAAGCCCAGCTGTGCTATCTAGCTAAGTCACAAATCTAAGTGTGATAAGTGTCGATTTACTGATCTCAGTTCTGCTGAGCTAACTCGTAAATCTGAAGTTTAATGTCAGTTTACTGGGCTAACAAGCTAACTTGTAAATCGAAGCTCAACAAGTGTCAGTAACGTGATCTATTACAAGTTGATAAGCTCCAGTGTACTGATTCCTTGCTTTTTGTTGTTTGAGCCTTATTGGCTAATACCCCTTATTTGTAATTAACCCTTTAAAACCTCATGTGCACGTCTTGGAGGAGTTCAGAACTTTGGAGCAGAAGCCCCTCTGAGCCCGCAGGCATAATAAATCTGAGTACTCCAACCCTCCGAGTGGTGCTTGTTTCTTGGCTGGCCTATTGTTTCCATAACACTCAGTTCCAGTGCCCAGCTTGCTAGGTAGATAGGACTGTTACCGAGTCCAAATTCATTCTCCTCAGTGCAGGACAGGCCAATAAGTTGGGAGACCAGGTGTTGGGGCATGGAATAGCAAGTTTCTGTAGACCTTGATGGCAAACTAATGTCCTGGAAAACCATTTCCCCAGGTCAGAATTCAGGCTCATTTCCTTCGTGCTTGGTTGTTGCAATCTTCTTGGTGTAGGAATTCCTTCTTGTTAGAATCCTTTGTTCTTGCAGCTATCTGCCTGGGTCAGATCCCTGAAAACCTCCAACAAAACAAACGTTATATTCTATTCTGCCATTTGTTATCTTTTTATGAATGAAAAAGTGTTAAATATCCTTAAAGTTCAGAGCCTTCAGAATAGCCTCTCCTGTATATTTCAGGCTCAAGACAACATTATTTTACAAGCAAAATGAAGCCTAGCAGACAGAGCACAGGGTTAAAGTCAAAGGAACAGATCTAATATGGAGTTAGATTTGTTCTGTTCTATTACCCGGGGAGAAGCCACCTGAGGATTTAAATCCCTTTAAGTTAAAAATAAATAAAAGTTAAAAGGAATTTACATACATAGGTGGGAATGTGCATAGCATATCTGGAAAAGCACCCAAAGGGTAGTAAACAGTGTCATCTCCAGGGAGGGCTGAAAGAACAGAGGATGAGGGAAAACTTCTTTCACTTGTGTATTTTTGTGCTCTATTTGAATATTTTTAACCATTTGCATGTATTTTTTTTCAGTTAAAAAAATGTGTAATGGAGCAAAGGAGTAAATAGCTCAGCAAATACAGTAGCCATGGAATCACTGAGTCATCACTTTTGATTTAAGCCAGGAAGCATTTATTGACTCTCTCCAATGTGCTCAGTGCTGTTTTAAGATTTCTTTTATTATTATTGTTATTATTATTATTATTATTATTTTTTATTACTGCTACTGCTGTTGTTGTTAATATTATTATTTCTTGTACTACTATTATTATTATTATTTTAAAAATAATAACAAGGTATCCCTCACCCCTGCCCATGGCTGGTGGAAAACCAACTGAGTTTTTATTAAGTTGTTTTCCAAGGAGTAAAGATGAGTTATAAACTGAACACATCTTCAGGGCAAAACAGGTGGAGTGGTTTTCCAGCAGGCCAGACAGCTATGAAGGGTTTTCAAAAGAGGCGCCCAGAAGCTGAGAGAGAAAGCCTCCAGGACACTACAAAAAGCTGCCCAAACTGCCTTCTCCATGGCACCATTGAAATAGGAAAGAACAAATCTGACTCCACATTTGATCTGTTACTTTGACTTTAACAAAGCCAAGTTAATATGATCCGGTCTATTCATGTGTTATGATGTGACAGAGGAGAAGGACAGTTCAACAGGGAACCACTATGCCGTGATCATGGAGCCGGGGAACGGGATGGGCTGCAAGATGTATGACGCAGCCGCAACTGTGCCTGTGCTTCTAGGCAGGTACCCAAAGTCGCCTCGACAAGGTGTCAAACACTTGTGCCCACGTCCTCATATATTAAAGAGAAATGGAAACCATAAAAGGACAATAAAATTGGTGGGTACACCGTCCAAAGTGCAAAGTCACAGTTTGACAACTGGCCATCTCGGTTTCCTGGGATTCATTCTTGGAGAACCTTAAAAACCACTCCTCTGTTCTCAAGGAGTGCTGCCTACCTGTCCTATCATTGGCTCAGGGATGTAGCACGTTCAAGTGAACTATAATGTCTACACAGATTTGACTGTCTTTCTCCAGGTTTGCTTGTCCATTCTAAATAATCCTGAGCTAAGTCCATCCTCAGTAAGATCTATTCCCTCCAGTGACAGCTCATTGAGCCTGCAATTAAAAGCCAGCAGAACAAGACTGTACTCAGCTAAAAAGTTCACCCACCTTTCACTGCTTTCTTAATCTCCTCTCCTGGCTAATTGCAACAGACTAACACCTCCCTCCACCAAACTCCCCAATTATGCCAGTATGTCTCCCCAAAGAGAAAGTAAATTCCATAAAAGAGGAGACAACTCCATAGTCACATCTGAATTCCTAGCATAAAGTAATGTTAATAAATAGAACTATGATTATGGCTTCTTTCCTTTAAAACCTTTCCGGTTATTTGAATGAGACCTTGGAAGAGAGGTGTTTGTGGTCCAGTATCTTGATCCACAAGACTCTGGAGGCCTTTTTCAGAATAGCTGCTCACTGATTAATTCAAACTACAGCTTCTCATTCCAGGAGAAGCTGTGCTTTTCTGCCAGGAGTTTGTGGTCACTCTCATGCTGGAACAGCTTTAAACTATATTCTTACTTTTGATTTGTTATTTTTCCCCTCTTCCAATATAATTGACTTTCCTTACTGTCTTGCCTTCAGGAACTTCTTTTTTTCCTAGTTCACCATTTAGTAAACCAGGCTTCTCGGGATGGGCTTGGCCTTACATATGATCAGTCATCAAACTCCCAGTGTGAGAGGCCTCAGACTCACCTCCTGCCCTCCTATCAAGGCAACAGAAACTCAGTACAGGAGCCAACAGGAGCCCCAGGGCTTCTAAGGCTTGTGTATCACCAAGAATCCCTGCTTTCTGGTTTGTCTTGGCTTCTGAGGATTTCTCCTCACTTTCTTGACAATTACCTGTGCAGCTTGAAAAATGACGAAGGAAGATTTTATTTCTTAATCAGCATTTTAAGAAACTTTTGTAATGAAAGTTTTCACGAGTTTCTACAACCCTCCATTGCCGAGACAGTAAACACACTAAATATTTTCTAAATTTAGCTATCATGTGTAATTTTTCTTTTGTTTTCTTTTCTTAACTGCAAACAGACATTTTTTAATTAAAAAAAAATGAGGCCCCAAATAGGATAGAAACTTGAAGGGACATACAAAATTAAAGGGCAAAGACAGAAAAATGATAAATACTCTACAATGTTAATAGAATACATACACTATGGGTCAGATCAGCAATTCTCAGTAACAGCTAATTGAAACATGACCATGAGGTAAAACGTCTCTCCTGTCAGGAGATGGCCAACAGAAAATAGAATTAAATCAACAAACTAAAATTCTACGTCTGGTGAGGTACAGAAGTCTACCAGCTAAATGTGTCTTCTTCTGGAAAAGAGGGAGGCTCACCAGCTGTTTACTGTGGAGCCTGAGCCCAGGGGAGGGCGGTGAAGAACCGCCCTGTAAGTACCCGATTACCAAAGAGAGTGATGAATAAAGAGACGTGAGCTTTGATGACAGAGATGATGCTACTATTCACTTGTCCTGTAAAGTATGCCTTCACGTTCAGTGATCAATACCTCGGCGTCCTCAGGGATTGAGATTATAGGAAAATGCACAGCCCAGGCCCAGACCTCCTCTTTGAGCTCGTGACACTGCACTTAGATGTCTCAAGGGCACCTCCAACTCCACCTGTTAAGAGCTGACTTTACGGATCTCCTCCCATAGCTGTCCTGCCCAGGGCCACTGGTCGGGGTGCAAGGTCTCCCTGCCTCTCCCAGCTCGGGCCAATCACTCACAGATGTGACTGGACCCATCTTTCAGGGCCCAGATTTCCTCAGTCACCGAGCACTACCACCCATACCTGTCCTACCAGGTACTCACTCGCACTCACTCAGCACTGACTCTGTGCTGGGGACCACGCTGCACACTGTGAACACGTTATCTCACTGGATCTCCACAGCAGTCCTGGGAAGTCGGTACATCACTGCTTTAATTGATTAGATAAATTGTTTCACTTCCTTGAGTTCATCATCCAAAGTGTCATGGCTACTGAGCCACAAACCTGGGACTGAAAACCACTTGAAAATTGAACACTGCTACACCTCGCAGCCACCCTACTCTGATTCATCACATCACCTCCTACCGAGCCTTCTAAATGTTTCCAAGCATTCTACAAGACAAAAGTGATCTACGAGGGCACCCCACTACCCTACTTAAAATCTGTCAATGACGGTCCACTGCCCTTGGATGAAAGCCCCACTGGGCTTGAGCACAACCCAACGGCCAGACATCCGCGTTCCCTACGCGGCCGCGCCACCTCACCCACCACGCAGCTCTACACGTGCCGTGTCCAGGACAGGGATGCTGACTCCGTACAACCCGGGACTCGTCTCACTCGAACAATGATCACCTT